TATGTCTGGGTAGCATTTACTTCAACTGATAAAGAATAGGGCAGGATGTGAACCCAACAGTTAAGCAGACCTCTTTTAGGATACAGACTAATATCATATATTCACCCAGATCTGAGTCAAACATAGAAATTTTTAAAGGCCCATAGTGATCACCTTTATTGACTATCTATTCTAATAAATGTTCTAATTAGATATATTCTAATTAAGAACAGCAGAGTTTATACAAAATGTTTCAGAAACCAATACCTAACAGGTATTTAAGTCATGTAACAGATAAATGTCTTTTGGTAAACCTCAGAAAATTACTGGGTTTTTTTTTGGTGTACCATAATGAAATTATGTATAAATATAAGTAGGAATTCATACTCATCTTTACTTAGGAACTCACTGAGGTCTAGCCACCTAAACAGACAAATACAATGTTCAAAACCAAAATACCCTTCTTTGATTTTGAAAGCCTTATTTCAACTCTGCTTCTTTTTTTTTTTTTTATTAGTGAAGCACCATGAGGTACAATTGTAGATTTACAAATCTTTGTGCTTGGGTTTCGGTCATACAATGATCAAATACCCATCCCTCCACCAGTGCCCATTTCCCCCCACCCCCCCACCCCACCCTGCTTCTGTGGCAGGGCATTCCCCTTTGTTCTCTCTCTCCTTTTGGGTGTTGTGGTCTGCAAAAGAGGCATTGAGAGGCAATCATGTTCAGTCCATAGTCTACTTTCAACATGCATCTCCCCTCCTGGGAGGATCCTCCAAACACCCTTTATTTGGTGTTCCCTTCTCTATCTGAACTGCCCTTTCCCCTAGAATACCCGGCTGGCCTCTAAGCTATGGAGTAATCCTCCTGGTGTTGATCTCAGCTATTCTTAGGTATTGATCTCATATTTTGTTGCTTTATATCCCCCAGATGAATGCAATTTTTCTATGTCTATCCCTCTCTTTCTGACTCATTTCGCTTAGCATGATACTTTCCATGTAGTACCACTTGTATGGAAATTTCATGACTTCATCTTTTCTAAGAGCTACATAGTACTCCATTGTGTAGAACTCTGCTTCTTTTAATGATGAACATTAAATCATTACAATACCATGTGTTCTCTTTTATTGTGGTTGTGCTTATTGATATTGAAGTGCAAATATTCATCAAATTTAATTGAACTTAAAAATTCAAAATGGCAGCACAATTCCAGTAAAAAGTGAAGTTATGGTCAAGTTAATAAAGATGGCAGCCTACACAGAATCTGAAAGATTGTTGGCATGAAAAGCTTCGCATTTTCAGCATACCCTCCTGTGAAGCTTAAAAACATACAGCTGTTACACTATCTCCAACTGAGTCAAAATTTCCACTATTTAGCCTTTTAGTTTTGCTTTTAATTAAAACTATTTGGAAAAAAAAGGAGCCTACCTTTGAAAATGTAAGTATATGTTCATTGATGTTAGAAAATACTATATACATGTGTACCCAAGCACACATAATGACACAAGATTTTTGAGAAGAAAACCAAATAACAACCTGTATTGGAAATCATAGAAATATACTTTAAAATATCTAAGAAACCTTAGTATACTGAAATACTGAAATAACTACAAAAAGATATTTACTAAATAACTTATCTCTATTTATATTACATAAAATGTTGTAATTTATTTACATCATAACATTCTCAAGGTTTTAGAGCTCTTTATAATTTCTATAGAGCATCTAGGTTAATCTTATATAATGCTACAAATTTATTGCATTCAAAATAATTTCCACTGTATTTTTCTTCTGAAAAAAAGTACTCTGTGGAATATAAGAAGCTTAAGCTGCTTGAAATGATAAAAATTTCTTTGCGCTTTTCAAAAATCACATTTTATAAAGGGCATTTATTCTACAGGATTAAAGTTTACTGAATAATATATATAACTTTAAGTGATGTAAGCTGTGAATGAAGATATTGAATGTCAAAGTTAAAGCAGAGGGCTCTTCATGATTTTTGCTACTTCAAAAAAGAAACAACAACAACAAAAAAGGAACAGAAGGCAAATGCAAATGATTAAGTAAAGGCAACCTCACCTTTGAATTTCTCCATCTTTGTATATTGTCATAACAATTAATTAACAATTAATTGTTAAATAGCAATTTAACTATCCTCTAAGGTTAATATTTTTCTGGTTCAATGGGAAGTACAGAAACCAATAATATATTCATGCATAATATGAGTTAACAGAGACTGAAGCATCTTATTTGTAGCAAATTTTATTTTTAAATAACCATAAAAGTTATTCAGTTGCTCTTCAGATTAATTTATAAGATCATGCAAGATGTAAACATGAAATTCCAAAGGAAAAATTATTCCTGACAATTCTAATATGTGAGGGAAAAATACAGAGAAATGCAGAACGGAAACTTTCTACATATGGCTAATACCTGGATCTTTATTCTTGCCACTTTTTGTCATTTTAGCACAAGATAAATGTAGGGCAAAGGTGCAAAAATTATTCATCCAAGGGAAGATCACTGACATGATACAGAGTAATGGGCAGTATACTACACTAATTTCCACAGAGAAATGTTGGGAATTGGGGGGGGGGATGTTAGATTGAAATACCTATTTAAAAAGAAATTCACTTTTTATTATCTTACTATTTCTATCATATTTATAAACTCTCTTTGAGTACCATGCATGATTATGAACTTTTTTTTTGCTAGGGACCATAAAATGGAAATCTTCCCAGAAGTCATTCAAAGTGATATATTAGAATAAAAAGTTATTGTAAAAATAAGGTAAATGGCAGTATTCTGGAAAAATGTTATGGGGGCAGAGTATTATGAGAGTATTTCCAAATCTGCAGCATATCATAAAGAAAAAATCTTCCTATATTTGGCATTGGTTGTAATGCAAAGCACCGTGGTATTACAGAAGTTTAATTTACTTGAGTATTTAGTGTTCACTCTCATTGTCTAAAAGTATGAAAGAAACCAATAGGCCTACTCCAGAACTTATCTGTATGATTGGTTTCAAAGGAAATACAATGCCATTTCTCCATTTCAGACTAAGTCCTACTGTCCTTATTTAACCTTAGGATCAAGAGACCATGAATGTAAAAGTTATCAAATCTCAAGAATACACAAACTCTCTACTAGTGAAACTGGTTTTCTTTATAATACAGCTAAAAAGGAAATAGCAAGAATCCATAAAAAATTAGGTGCTTATACTTATTTTTATAATAATCACTGGTGTTATCACTAATCTTTTCCTTAAGAGCTAGAACAACATAGCTCCAAATTTCCATCCCAGAAATTCTCACTTCTCACACTTTCTACCATGATAGCCCCTGCAGGCACACTGCAGCAGAAAATGAGATGATATTTATACTTATAAAAGGCTCTGACTCCTAAGAAAGGTTACTGTAAAAAGAATGTGCAGTGGATTCCACTGGGGGTTGTTAAAGCTCTTTGCTTTTTAGGTGATAAAAAAAAATTACCCAGTTTTTGAAGTATTTTGCTTTTGATCCTTTATTGTGGAATTTAACCTTATTTGAAGTATTGAAGGGGAAAAAAAAATCTGCTCTCTCTTTAAGTCAGCATTAAAGTGACCACCCAACCAAAACTGACTTTCAGTAATTTTCTTTTTTTTTTTTTTTTTTACTGGAGATCAAGCCAACCCAGGCATCGGGGAGGTAGATTCTATGCAAATGCAATGCCCAGTTCCCAAGTATAAGAGTGCATCCATCTCTTCCATGCAAAACATTAGTTGCTCAGACTCACAGACACAGTGCAGCATGGGAAAGCAGGATAAACCTTCCAAGCCCACATTACACAACATTTTCCCCCTGCCTGTTCATATAATTACTGCTCCTTTCTTTAAATATTTTTTTAATGTTCCTGTTTCAAATTTATATTATTTTTTTCAGATGTCTAATTTCAGTTATTTTCTTTCCCTCCTGGTCAGTTCCCACATTTCACATACCAGACAAATACTTAAAGGTCTGTAAAACTAGGCAAGCTTCCAAAATATTTCTAAACGAATCTGCCATAGGTGACAGGACAGGAAAGAAGGCAAAGTTGTAGGACAAGGAACTGAATAAACTGACTGAAAATGTACTGGAGATTCTATTTAAGTCACTATAACTAGGGATGAGATTTCAACGGAGGCACAAACATTCAAGTTACTGACACAACCAACATGTTTCATGATCACTCAAAATGGTCTACTTGTCATGGTGCATTGCCTTTTCTTTTATTAATACTTTGCTCTCTCCTTAAGTTTTTTTTCTTTTTTAGTATCCAGGAAGTGAAAACATTTAAGAAAACATTCAAAATTCTCAAGGTACTTGTAAGTGAAATATTTAATGTCTGTTCATTCAAAAAGTTACATAATTTACATAGGGTTCATTTGTATATAATAGAAATTTTATCTCAATGAAAAATGTCCTGGAAAGTTATATGTTAATTTTTTTAACATATGCTTTGGATATACAGCTAAATAGGAATTGATAAAAAAATTTTTTCAAATATTTCCTTGAGCAATTGTTTTAAAAGCCTCATTCCTAAATATTTGTTTCTCTTTCCTCTTGCTCCCTTTGTCTGTAAAATTGTATGTAATTGGAACCATGAAAAGATTGGATCTTTTCAGAGTACATGAAAAGTATACAGAAAATAATTGTATACTTCAATAAATTTGCTCATTGCATAGTGAATATATAAATGTATAAAAGAGTTATAAATTTTACCCTAGTAATTTAAAAGTGTTGCTGAAGTTTTTTACATAGTAATTTATTCTGAGGTTTATTTTTGTTAAAACATGGGTTTACTCCCCTTTTTGGTTTTTTTTATTTTTAATACATGTATTAATTCAATACACAAATTTAAAAAGGCATGAAAATTAAAAATAAAGTAGTAATTTTATCACAGGCTACTAGAATTTAATCTTATTGTCTTATTGTCTTACTGTCTTTTTCCAAGTATAACAAGTTGTAGATGTCTTGTGCTGCCTCTTAAGACAGTGTTCAAAATTAAACAGTGTGTGTTTAACATAAAGTTAACTATGTTTGCATCAAATAAAATGTTTATTAATGAAAGCTATTATCATACAAGAAACAGCAAAGATAAGTCATCATACAGAGATGTACACTAGAAGTGACAGATGTAAAAGTGCATGCAGAGATTTCTGTTTAGAAAAGAAGTAATAAACAATAATACTAAAATTACTGGGTTTTGATTCCTATACTCTTAAATGAGTAATAGCTTTTCTTTGAATTTACAATTGAAAATGTTATCAACAGATAAAGACTAATATACATTAGCAAGCAGGTGAAATGAATGCTTTTGGACTTTTATTTTACAACTACTGTGCTTGACAAATGTGTGGGATAATTTTTTTAATAACTTTCTTCAAATATGGGATGGGCATATCACTGCCAGGTTGCTCTGGTTTATACATAGTTAATCTAATTTTGTTTTAAACCACATGATTTGAAGCCTTCATTTATGTTAGACACCATAACCAACAAAAATTTTTTCAACATTCAGTAAATGAGTTAAATGTGTGTCTCTCTCTCTTTCTCTCTCTCTCTCTCTCTCTCACTGTGTGTGTCTCTCTCTCACTGTGTGTCTCTCTCTCTCTCTTTTTGGCCCAGTATATTTTTAAATGTATAATTATCATGACCTAATATTGTCTTTGTCTTCACTGCAGTGGATTTCCGATCAAACTTTTCCCCTTCTTTTAATACTTTAGGGAATTTTCAAACGTCGGGATGTTTGGCTGTAATGCCCCAAGATTTGTTCTCCCTGAAAAAAATCATAGTGACAATTTATTAACTACAGAGCAGCTTGGCTTTTCGGGGTCTGCAATTTCTATTTAGATTTACAAATATCCACTTGTGCTCGATAGGCCTAACATTAACTCTTAATCATAGTTAAATTTTCGTTTCATGCAATTACTTTCTTTGCTTATTATCTCCTTTCTAATCTAAAAATTGGTTTGAGTCAAATCAATGGGGCATTACTTTTATTATAACAGCATATGTTTATAGGTAATTCCAAGTTGAACTATATTGCATATGCACTGGTGTGTATATTTAAAATGAATCAAAAGTTCAAAAATTTCAAAACTATTTGTTTGCTTGAATATTTTTCTAAATTTTGTATTACCTCTTTAATAGCTTTTACATATGATATTGAAAACACAATGATACAGTTAAAGCTTAAATAAAACTGATAGGAAATAAAACTCCTTAGATTCAAAATGGTTTATTCACACAAATTTAATAGGATATATCACAATTGTTTGGTCCATAAATATTTAGGGGAAATAATTTCTATACAATGCATTTATCAATAAACAAAGAAACATGGACAATTTTGCTAGACCACTTACTGTACTATAAACACGAAGCTCAATATATAAGATTATTGAATTTATCAACTATATTGAAAGAGTGCACAACTGCTTTCTATGACATGTTTGTCCCCTCTAACAGGATACACCATAAAAAGAGTTTCAGAAATAAGAGGTAAAACAGTACAAAACTAGTGAGGTGTCAAAAGGGCTTCAAACAGTTAATTTAACAAACGACACAGAGATCCTGATTTTCACAAACTTACTTCCAAGTTATATCATAAGGCACATAGGAGAACTGAGTTATAATTAGTCTACTTAATAAAGTAGATCTATAGTACCATATATTGTTCTGTCAAAGAACAAAATTTATAAGTATCAATATTTTACCTGTAAAAGTGTGTTAATAAGATCTCAGCCTTACCAAGGTTGTTTGGTCTGGTTAGTGGTAAATGCCCAAAATGTAATAGAAATATGAAAAGTCAAGATTTAAGCTCCATATAAGATGATAACCACACTTGTTAAATATATAATGGCAATCACACCTTTCTTCTGTTACAGTGTTAACTTATCTTCCATCAACTTTTTTTTTAAAAAATAAGCTACTTTCTGTGCTAATTTTCTAAAGACCCTGAGCAAAAGTTACAATAATGCACTTTAATGTGGGCAGTGAACTGTCAATATGTAACCACACATTTATACAGCCAGAAGGACACCTTTAAAATCTATTAAATAGCCACTTTTACCACCATAGGAGATTTAAGGGGCCCAAAAAGTGGAGAATATGTGCAAAGTTATTCTTAACAATCCACTAAAGCAAGACATATATCTTGACTTCTTTTTTATTTTTGTTTTGTTTTTTTTTTAGGAAATCCACAATCTAATTGGTATTTAACTACAACAGAAGCATATAGATGAACATTCACCACTGCCCAGACCATTAGAATTTTAGTTTAAATTAAAAGGAAAAAAATGCTACTGTAAACTAGGAAATATATTCAGATCAGCATCCACAAGGCTTCTGAGTTTATCATTTTAAGACTAATAATTTCAAATATCTAATATCAGGTTTTTGTCTCTGACAACTACATCAACCTGCGCCAAAGTAAACTAAAACAAAAGGATTCTCATTGTTGGTATTATTCTATTAAGGTTTTGTTAACATTATTTATTATAAAATTCCAGATACAATATCATGGTACATCTGAAGCCAATTAATAGCTATTAATTTATACTGTTTTTTAACTTCTTAAAAATTATGTTTTGCTTATTTCCATTTCCCTTTATAAAAATAATTTATAAAGAATGGTGTCACAACTATCAGTTTTAACTTTAGAAGATTGAGTATAAATTTCAAATTCTAAGAGGAATTTTCATGGTTACACAGGGACTGTTTTTCAAATGTTATAAAGCGAAGAACTAAAACGTCGTTTACATTGTTAATCCCTAAAAGAAAGAAAAATCACATTCCTTAAATAGATTTGCCACATAATCAGTCTTCAATATTTAGAATTGGTAAAGTTAATACTTTTGCTTAATCATATTCCTCATTTATCAGAAAAAAATCAAAACATGTTTGTTTCAATTTTTTAAATGCCAATTTTCCAAAGTTCATTAAGCACACATACAATTGCAAGATTTAAAAAAAAACTGTGAATCTGATTCTTTAGTAACCTAGTCATTTAATCGGGAATATGATTATTGACCCATCATACCACTCTTTTTTTTTTCCTTTGAGATTCTGGAAATAAGTAACATACAATTTTAAGAGGCACTTATTAAGAATTAGTCAAAAACTCCCCTTACCAACTGAAAGATCTAATTAAAAAAAAAAAAAACCAAATACATTGGTAGACAAAAAAAAAATACACTTTGTAAAGGAGACAATACTGTAAACTCATTTGCCAAGTGGCTGCAGATACTTCACACCACGCTGTTGCTTTTATTTCCCAAATATCTTGTGGGTTAGAAGGAAAAATAAAAAGTCTTGTAAATAATAAAATAAGAAGTATTCGAATAGGAATCAAAGAAAGAGGAAGAATTAAAAAAAATTAAAAAAAAAAAACCAATGTTAGAAAAGGTTCGTTAAGGTAGTTTGTGAGGGGCTTCCGGATTCGTGGCTGTCCATGTTAGAGGTCACGGCTGTCACTACAGTGATAGTGGGATTGGTCAGGTCTGTTAAAGTGGTCGCAGTGCCGGGTGGAGTGAGAGCGCCGCTGTCTGCTGAGGGCGGGGCCGGAAGCGACGTGCCATCAGCTTTATCAACACCCCCATTCTCCTGCCGCAAAAGGTTCCTTCTGAATTTGGCTCGTGCGTTTTGGAACCAAACCTGCAAACCAATCCCAATTGATTTCTTTACCGATGTTTATATTTTATAGTCCTTTTTTCTCTCTTTTTTGTTCTCCTTTCCTTTTTTTTTTTTTTTGGATTTTTTTTTTCCTTTTTGTTAATGTTATTTTTCCTTGGGAGAGGTGGGCCCCTTTTTTCCCTATTTTTTTCTTTTCTCTCTCTTTTTTTTTTAAACAAAGTAACTCCAGTCATTCTAAAGCTACTCTCTCAACTGCATATATGCCCCCCACCCACCCCCATACCAGCATGAACAAGTGCCACATGGGACAACTGGTGCTTAAGTGCAGATACCGTGGAGATGAAGGCACAGAGATAAAGCGAGAAAAATGCATCCTGGTTCCTCAACGATTGTCTTTTGAGAGTGGGGAGGGACAAAGACAATGAAATTTTGCAAAGTAAGAATCGCTCCTATGAAATAAACATCATTGAAACAGACTTCAGGCTCTACCTGAGTCTGGCAGAAACTAAGTATTCCTTGCAAAAGAAAAAAACCTCCAGGGCCAGACTTCACACTGCCAAGAACCTGTAGGTAGAATTTAAGTTGTTGTCATTTGTCACTAAGAAGTGACAGATGACCATAGGGGACCCACGACAACTATAATTTCCTAAAGTGTATCTTCTTGCCCTTGATGAGCTCAGAAAAACAATTGAACAGCAGATCTACTGCCTACTATTTCTTTTTTTAAAAATGGCCCTAAACATAGAAAAATAAGTGTCCCGAGTCATTGTGTAGATATTAACTATACTCATAATATTTTAGGAGTGGAAAAAAAATTGGTCCTGAATTTGGATGGCCCTCACCTGTGAGTGAGGCTGCTAAGAGTTTTTTCAAGTGAGATGGCAGCAAGTAGGACCCCCCCAAAAGTCCCTGCCCTGAGATTAATCTCTAAAGCCTCAATTTCTGCAGATAAATGCTGCCACATTTGCAGAGCTCTGAGGCAAGTTTTGCTGGCTTTGGCCAGCCCATTCGTAAGGAGAAAACGACTACTTCTTAAAAAGTTTGGGCACCTTCTGAGAAGCCCCTGCAAAAATCTCAGCCTCCCCCAGAGAGATATCTAAGGTAAACTAATGAGAAGTGGTTCAGGAAATATCCGTATCATGCTAAGCAGGGAGCATTGGGGTTGCTGTATGCTGTATGCAACCAAGGTAGGAAGTTTCTTACCTGCAAAACTCTTTTGGTCAGGCCTGTTTTCTGAGCAAGCTGTTTGAGGTCCTTGGCATCTGGGTTGTGGTTGATGGCAAAGTAGGATTTCATGGTCCGGAGCTGGTGGTGTTTGAAAGAGGTTCGCATACGCTTGGTCTTCTGTGAGGGTGGGTAAGGCTGCTGGTCCCGGTCCAAGTGGTCAGTGTCATTCTCATTACAACCTGTTGCGGTAACAGTGAGCAAACAACCACTCAGTGGGAACTCCTGTAGTCACAGAAATGATATAGGGCTGGGGAGGAGGCTATGGAAATAAAGCAACCTTGGGAACAGCCGTCGCCCTCTGTTACAAGCAGTTTCTGGACCAAAGGAAGAGGCTAACTGCCACTTACAGACCAGTTTGAGTGGGTCAAGTTGGTCTATAAATGTGAACACAAAGTGTGTGGACTAGAGTAAAATTAAATCAATCGGGGATTTGCCTCATGCTTGCTGAAGGCAACTTGGGAAGATGAATATGATGATTAAATGTGAGAATGATAGAAATTGCTAAGAGTGAATCAACTCTCTTAATGATCTTCATGAGTATCTTAATTATCTTCATGCCCCTAAACACACACACACACACACACACACACACACACACACAAACACACATTTAGAGATGTCCCTTTTTGTCTGTATTGTGGAATAAGATATTCTCTAAAGTATTGCTGTTTGCACTAAGAGATACCATAGCTAGTCATTTCAAGTCTCTCAAATCTGAAAGTTTCTTCCACCAACCAAGGAAGAACTTGGTCTGTTCCAATTTTTTTGTCTTTTCTCATCTTCTGAAAGCCCTCTCAATAAGAAGCCAAAAGGTCATTGGAAGAGGAGGAAAAGATACAACATAACAATGTGTAGACATCATATATAATCATAAGAACATTATTTCCAAGATATTTTAGTTGCAACTGGTTAGCAAAGATCTATGGAAGAAAATATCCCTGTGATTTATGTGAATAAATATTTGTCAAAGAAAATGTGCCTGGACTTGTTCACTGGGTTCAGGCCTGCAGCATGGCCTATATAGCTCCTTATTCAGAGACAAAAATTGTGCTTATTTTGAGGAGAGGCTCTTGGTCCCTTCTGCTGTGGACATATGTTACTGGCATTTGAGTTGTGTCCTTGGCTGTTTGGACAGAGATGGTGGCATCTTCTCTCCCCTGGAAAACAAAGTGGTCCTCAGTGCTGAGCACAGAACAAGCAGCCTTTAGGACCAGGCTGGAAGTCATTATGCCCGGGATGTAAAGTGGTATATTTGAAAGGGCATTTCCACGTACCTCCTGGCTTGGCAGAGGAAATATGATTACAGAATGAAAACATTTTTGCCAAATATTTACTGATTCATCATCTTCACAACTTAAAGGGCATGGGATATTTTCCCCCTTAAGCCTTATTTTAAGGTATTTATCTGATGTATATTCAGATCGGATTATCCTGCCCTTTAGTGCATTATAATAGATCAACATTACCTTGTCTTGGGGGGAGGAGGGAGGGGGGAACATCAACCTAAATCTTGAAGCAGATGAAGTCTCTCTCAAAATAGACTCTTTCATTCTGTTTGATAAAATATTATGTGCTTGCTATGCTCTAGTTAGAATTATTTTCTAATAATTTCAGTAAGTCAGCATATATACAGAAAGAAGTATTTTTCAAGAGGTCAGTCACGTGACAAAATCCATTCAACAAGAAATTCTCCTAATGAAAACTAGGCATTAACACATCTCTTTGTTCCTTTTTCTATGAACAAGAGGCCAAAGAGCAGGTGAATTTCCTGTTCTCCTGTGGGGACTTTCAAAGCAAAGCATGGAGCCAGGAGCTTAACAAGCAATCAAGATTCTGAATCTTGGCTCACCAATAAAATCATAGTTTGAGTGACTAGTCGTCATACAAAAATCAAATCAGCTTGAACTGGAATCCAAGTTAGATAGTCAGAAAAACACACTTTATAAATCCTCACAGAAAGGGTAGCATTATACCCAGACACAATAGAGAAAATATACTTTACATTTTATCCTAGTTCAACCCGGTAGGGAGATGTCAAGTTCAAATAGCCTACAGAAGTGCACTTTCATATCCTCAAATGGATGAAACAACATCTTATGACCTGCCATAAAATTCAACTTATCTCCAGTAAACTGAGCCATATTTCACAAGTAGATTATAAAGGTGCCCACAGAAAAATGGTGCAAAAGGCACACCTGCATCATTTGAAGCTTCAAATAAGATTTTATTTCTATCACAGGTGGGAAATATAAATTTCCCTCAAAGAGCACATCAAATTGAGTATTATACTTGGGTAGAAAACTATGTTTTAACTTCTTCACCCGCCACTCCCAGTTTCTTGGAACTATTATTGCTGACTTAACTATGTATTGATCAGTCTTAAATGTGAGATTTATAAAAAATAATCATAGAAAGATTTGATAAATTTGCTTCTGAGTATGCATTCATATGCGCTATTTATTGATAATTTTGAAAATCAGCATAAATTGTAGCTCATTAAACAAATATAGGACTCATTTCCACATAGACTACAGCTTTGCGTAAAGAGAGTTAAGAAGATGCTGCTGAATAAAATGTCTCTTTGGCTATGTTATCACTTACATTATGCAACTTAATAGAGTAATCTTTTTTTTCTATACAGTAAGTGAGTGGATTCCAAAATTACCCTAGGTTTAACTATAAATGTATTGCATGAACTTGCTAGTGTCTGTTCCCCAGAGGCTATTTCTAAAGCTACAGGATCCTCCCTGCCCCCATCTTTTAAAAAGAAATAACTTTATTCAAGCCATCTTAGACATCCAATGGTAAGAACACCTGAGATTATATGGTTAATGAGAAGATCTAAATATTTTCACTTATGAAGTCACTTTTGAGCAGGGTCACCTATCCTAAAACGTCTTTCTATTCTGAACAAATAGAACCTACGATCTGATCCCTGAGAAACCACTAGGGGTCAGTACCAGGTTAATTTCAGAATTACCAGAAGCTTTTTCCAGTTAGGATGTGAAGGAACTGAATAAGGGAGGTTTTGAAGAGGCAAAAATGTAGTCTCCCAGTGAACACTAAATGGTTCAAATCAAAAGTGCCTATCTTAGGTTAAATCTCCTTAGCCCCTGAGGATTTCTGTCTCAGTTCAATATTCCCAACCAATTTTTCACATGTCTGAAATACTTTCCTGATATCTGCATATTAGAAATCTCATGTCTGATATCTGATATCTACATATTAGAAATTTCTCATTAGAAGGGGCTTACCTTATGTCAAATGCTTATATTGCCAAGTTTACCATCTTTACTGGATGTCTGAATCATAAACATATTGTGATTTTTTTTTTTTTTTTTTTTTTTTTTTTTTGCTTTTTGGATAACACCCGGCGATGCTCAGGGGTTACTCCTCGCTCATGCACTCAAGAATTGCTCCTGGTGGTGCTCAGGGGACCATATGGGGTGCTGGGAATCGAACCTGTGTCGGCCATGTTGGCTGCGTGCAAGGCAAACGCCCTACCCGCTGTGCTATCGCTCCAGCCCCTTGTGTAATTTTTTAATGTGGAAATTATATTTATCAATTATATATTTGTTTAGTGTCAGTGTCACTCTCTTTCAGACTAGTTACATTAAACAGAGGTGGAAATATAAGATTTAAAGAATACTCAAACAACAAGCAAAAATTGTTTATCAAATTTTCTGCATTTTAACAGGTTTTTTTAATTTGTAGGAGCTTCTCTTTAGCTAGTTTGTAATGAATTGCATTAGATTCATAAACTATTTCTAAATTGTGATTTCTTGATAGATTTATGGCCAGAAATTTTAAACTCCAATTTTCTCTACCCTTTCACCAAGTCTAGAAATATTGGGGTGCTATTGATTAGAGGGCACTGGGGTTGGTGTTGGTGAGATGTGCAAATTTCTCCAGATTGAGGGAGCTTCTGGAACTTTCTTCATAAACCACAACAGGAATATTCTCCATTACCAAGTCGCTGCAATAACTTGCAAACTAAAGACCTGAAGTGGAAGGGGAGTTTCTCTCTTTTAAGGAGATAAAGGCATGCTCTCAAATTTTCCTAAGACTAGTAGAAGTATTGGTCAGATATTTTAAGGGATCCAAAGTGAAATAAAATCCAGCGAATTAGATTAAATAAACCAAACCAGAGAAGCCAAACTGGATGCCCTTTGGCAAGAAATTTCCACCCTCTGGACTTGGAGCTAAAGAGTTCCCCTCTTTCCAAAAGGGCTGGTGAGTTATGTATGAGCCTGGTTCCAGTGCCCTCTCTCTCCGTCTCTCTCTCTCTGTCTCTTTCTGTATGTCTCTCTGTCTCTGTCTCTCCCCCTCTCTCCTCTCCCTCTGTCCCTCCCTCTTTCTCCCCCACCTCTCTCTCCCTCTCTCCTCTCCCTTCCTTTCTCTTTCCCTCCTTCCCTCTCTCCCCTCTTTCTCCCCCACCTCTCTCTCTCTGTCTCTGTCTCTGCCTCTGTCTCTCTCTCTGTCTCTCTCTCTCTCTCTCTCTCTCTCTCTCTCATTAGGGCCTTGGGGCCTCAGTGAGTGTCTCAAGATTCCGATGTCATCTTCTATTAATAAAAGACAATGAGCATCTGCCCGTGCTGGCCCGGGAACCACGCATCAAAGGAGATGAAGCAAGAGCACTGGACCAAGCAGCCGGGAAGCCAAGCCCTGGTGGAAATGTGGTGGGGCCAAGTCAAAGCAAAGCCCCAGTTGCATCTGGCACAGCCCTTACCAGCAGCAGGATCAGTAGACAGTCTTTTCCCCTAGAGCCCTTGGCCCGGGCAACTCCTCCCCCAACCTGTGCCTGAGGCTTCCCATCCCTTCTGTTCCTGAGAAAAGCCAGTCGCGCCTGCCGGACTAGGATTTCATCAACTTGGGTTTAATAGACCAAGGAAGAACCCCAGGAGCAGGGTCAGTCGCTGGCTGGGAAGAACCTGCTGGTCCTGCGTGACTCCCCCTGCAAATTCTGTGCTCAGAGCAAGACTTGGCTCCTTTCCCATGGACTGGTGTGACTTTGGACAAATCAGTGATCTGACTGGGCGTGTTCTGTAAGTCTGCACAATGGAAGTCAAGCCCTTTCAAGGCAACGGGAGAGTGAAACAGCAGGACTGCTTTGGTTAATATTTGGGTGCTGTGGGTCACTGAATGGGGGTGGGAGGTTCCCTTTTAATAGAAAGAAGGCTCCTGGACAGCATGTCCTACTTTACTGCTTGGGTCAGAACATGAGGAAAACAGAGCAGCTCCCCAAAGCCAATTGCCAGCTTCCAGAAACCTTGCCCAGTAACCACAAATCACATGAAAAAGAGCTGCTCTGAGACTGTGGGCCCACAGTGTGGAGGGGGAGGTAGGGGCAGGCGACCACACTGAGAAATGGGTGAGTGTGGTCGATCAGAGATCCAGGCGTGCCCTTCAAGCAAGGAAGAACAGGCTTCCTAGCGTCTAGCCCCATGCCTACACGTTGTTGTTGTTGTTGTTGTTGTTGTTGTTGTTGTTGTTGTTGTTGTTGTTTTAAAGAGGCTGGTGGGGGCCAAAAGAGCAGTCAGAGACACCACTGAGCCTCCACAGGGTTTGACCTGGAAGCTCTTCAAATCCCCAGAACCAGATGGGGATGTCTGGGTGTCTGATGGTCCAACACCCAAAAATGAATGAGCCGAGTGCAGAGACCGGTGGGCTGAGAGCAGGCCAACTTTGTGACTGAGACTGAGTCCCACAAGATCAAGGATTGGGTTGATTCTCCACTCTTGCCAACTGTGTTCCTGATTAGCGCTGGGCTGCTGCCCACAGCCTGTGCCCACCCCCACCTTCCAGACAGACTGAGGCTGGACTCTGAGCGTATGTGTGTGTGTGTGTGTGTGTGTGTGTGTGTGTGTGTGTGTGTGTGTATGTGTTCTTTTCCTATTTAGAAAAACCTCCTCCAGGATCTATAATTTGGCTTCTCCACAGGAATTGCCCTGGGGCTGTTTTGCTCCAACTGGGAGCCAGAAACTAATGGCCTCATTAACTAATGGGCAACAAGGATTTGGCTCTGCTGGCCCCTTGGTGCTGAATGTGGTGGGGTTTTTAGGTGGTTGTACTGTTGGTCGTTGCTGTTATGAGAGCTATAAAAAGATCTCTCCCTCTCCATTTCGCCCTTGCCTCATTTCCCCCTTCTGCCCTCTTTCTCCTTCACACCCTTCCTTTGGAGTGAAAGGAACTAGTAGTGGGCAGATGGGTAGGGACAGGCAAAGGACCCTCTAGCAACCAGACCCTGGAAGAAGAATGAACTCTTTGGGGTCCTAGGGCATGGGGAGCGGGACTTGAGTCGGGGGCCCACCTGAGTTGTAATTGACGAGATCCACTCCCAGCGCAGGGCTCTTCCGCTTCCGGGGCCGCCCCTTCTGCACCGTGCCGGTGCCGTTGAAGTAAGGCAGGGCCAAGCCGCCGCTCTTGGCCGCCAGCTCCGTGTAGCTCAGCGGTGCCGGATACTCCCCTTGCAAGAGGGTCTCGAAATGGGCGCGACAGTACACCAGGCTGTCCTTCATGCCGAAATGGTCGCCCGTGGTCAGGGTCTTGTTGCAGGTGGAACAGGTGAAGCAGCTCAGGTGGTAGACAGACTCTCGGGCACGCATGACCATCTCAGAGGCGGAGATGCCAAGGTGGCAGCGGGCACATCTCTGCACAGAGAACCTTCTGGAAAGAAACAATAGAGTCAGAGCCCTGGTGTTCTCCCACCTGCAGGAGTCTGGAGGCCAGGACACGGGGCCCACTCCCGGGGCCCACTCCAACAGCAACCGTTTTAGTTTATTGACCACTTCTGGGGAAGCGGGACAGAGAACCCTTTCCTCAAAATCAGCCTCGGTTTCCTTCCCTGTAAAGTGAACATTTGAAAAACAAAAAGGCTCTGCTCTGGCAAATACACAAGCTATCAAAAGAATACTAAATTGCCATGACAATAGAAAACGTTTCATTAATTAATTAATTACAAAACATTTTGTGAAAGCGGAGATTTATCTATGGAAAGAGTGTGTGTGTGTGTGTGTGTGTGTGTGTGTGTGTGTGTGTGTGTGTGTGTAGGTGCCTGAGTGCATGAAAGTGTTTGGACAGGCACGGTACAGGAAAGGAGATCAGATCAGGGGTTCACAATTTTGCAGAGAAAATCTCTTTTAGAGAAACAAACCACCTCTGTCCTTTGGGCTGAGCGCAGCCGAGCTGGTCACCTGCACACTGCCGCGACCTTCCCAGTCCAGGGGAGAGGGAAGTGTCCAGATGCGCACCTGCCCCTGACTTTACAAAACCTCCAGTCCGCTGGCACAGTTCTAACGGGCAGTAAAGGGGAGCAGGAACAGCACACTCACTCCTAGCTGTGTTCATTGCTCGGTGCCCACCACATTGGCGGAAACCAAACAGCGAGGCTGCTGCCCAGGCCACCGCTCCAGAGCCAAGGTGTGGACAGTTACTCAGTTCTTAGTAACCGGAAAGAAACCCCACAAACAAAAAAAAAACTCTTTCATTTGGGCCCACTGAGTCACACCCGCCCATTACCACTTCCCCTTCCCGGAATTCCCTCTGCCCGGTGACCAAGGGCCTGGAGCACATGAGATTCTTTGCCAGCGGCCCTGACCTCGGGAGCTCCCTCAACCCCGTCCCCGCCATGCTTCGGATTCCAGATCGCGGCATAGAACTCCCTGGGTCTCGGGGTCCATCACTGCACCCCATAGGGGCGAACAGTGGAAGGTTCGGACCAGGGGTGGCGTACCTGTAGTAATCCTCCTTGCAGTAAATGCTACCGTCCTTGGCGAAGCACGTGAGCTCGGACTCGAGGGCCAGCTTACATTCACAGCACTTCAGGCACCTCAGGTGCCACTGTTTGTCCACCGCCAGCAGGTAATACCTGTCCGAAATCTTGCCCCCGCAGCCCGCGCACAGAGCGGGCTTCTCCGGGCTCAAAGGGGGCATGCCCTGCAAGGCAAGCACAGTGCTCGGCTCATCCCGTGCGGGCTAAACCCCCGGGACTGTGGGCCTCGAGCGCTCGGAGCGTGGCCAGCACCCCAGGCCAAGCGCTGGGGCAAACGTCGGGGGGCTGGGGGCGCGCGCGCGAGTTTTCCCTGTCGGCTCGCTTGCTTTCCGCCGCGGATGCCCGAACCCGCCTTGGTGTCCTCCCGAGACTCAACTTGAAGCCTTAACCTCTGGGCTCGAGCTGATGCTTTGCTGGATGCTCCCAAAGCGGGCAAACTACAAAGTGTGGCTTGCAAAGCTCGCTACAGCAAGCAACGGAAATCGTTCTTCAGGAGCGCCAGGGCGAAGTGGACCGACGCGACTCGTTTAACAAAGCCGATGACCATCCTATTTCTCTCAACTCCTACCCGCAGCGTGGACACGGCGGAAAGGGAGAAATTATTCTAAGCCGGCTTCAAGGTTAGTTGACTTTATCTGGGGCCAAACATACTAACTAGAATTTGCGGCTTGGGAAGATCGATCCTCTTCCTAGGGTGCAAAGTACCTGTTCCGGGAGAGACTCGGTCGTCGGGTCCCCTCTGCGCGCTCCTTGCCGCCCTCCACCCCCATCCGGTCCCCGGCCTCAACGGGAGAGATCTTCGTGCAGAAAATCTCCGTGCCTAAATTGTTTCCCACCGTGCGTCCTTCAGACGCGGTACCTCGTCAGGACCAGAGCATCCCCCCGCAGCGAAATGCAGGCTCGTGGTGCAGCTTTATTTCTGTGCAGAACAACCGCAAAAGTTGCGGGGTCAATAAAAAAAAAAGTTAATCGCTGGATAGTTCCCTCCAGACTGCAGAAATGGGTTGGGCTTTCCCACGAAACTTGGGCGGGTGTGGAAAAGTTACAAGCCTCGCCTTTCCCGGAGTCCAGGACCCCCGCACAGAATTCATGTGGCAAAAGCAGCAGCGTCCACCAAATCTACGTTCTGGGGGAGCCCCCTAACCCTACAGACCGGCCGGGAGAAATCCACAGGCTGAACGGGAGCGACAATCGCCCGAAGTGATGCGGAAGGCACGACCCGGCTCCGCGGGGCTGAAATCATTTCCGGAGACTTTTGTAGTTTTTTCCTCTCCGCCTCGGAAGCGGGAAGGGGAAGCGCATCGATTATTAATCGGCTTTCTTTTCGTTCCGGGCGAACAGTGGTACCCAAAAAGTGGCTGCTTCTGTCGTTCCAAGCATAGACATTTGGGCGCTTGCCACTAAGCGCCCGGATCCTCCGGATTTTCTACTCGATTTCCCGCTAAATGTTACAACCGCCCCATCGGAGAGTCCCACGCGGTCCAGACTCGCCATAAGGGTCGAACCGGGCTGCGAGGGACCCCCGAAAATCACTGGGTTGGAGGGTGGTGCTGATGTCCGAGCGTCGACAGACGCCCGAGTCCCGCTGCAAAGCTCGGATCAGCGGACCCAGAGTCACCAGGAATCGCGCTGGTCCCTGATGCCTCAGCGGCGCTCGGTGCGACCCGCGCCCGCACCCAGCACGCCTTCCCGGGTCCCGATCCCCGCCGGGGCGGCCACAGGGCGCCGAGCCCGGCGAGTGAGGGCTGCAAGGGGATGCGCCCACTCCCATCTCACCCGGGCACTCGCCCTCCAGCGAAGTTCGGCCCGGACAGCCAGCCCCGGCGGGGCTCAGGGGTGAGAACATTCCCCATCCCACTGAGGACCATGGCTTGGTAGCTGGAGAAGGGACGGCGGGGAAAGGCCACCCGCCCGGCTGCGGCGGCCGCCCCGGGGCCCGGCCAGGACCCGCTCAGGGGCCCGTCCTTACCGCGTCGCGGCCGTTGAGCTGCGCGCCCTTGGCCAGGCGGGCCTCGCTCTTGGATCTGCGCTCCATCTCTTCCATGATGCCTTGGATGTGGCCTCCGGAGATGCCGTGGAAGAGCATGGCTGGGGGGCGGAAAGGACACGCGTCGTCTTCTGCTCGGCACCCCACTATTTCCATATACACAAGCGCGGGGTTTTCAGCTCATCCGAGTGAAGGAGCAGAAGAGAGAGGCGGCGAGGAGGCTCCGCGCCGGCGGAGCGCAGAGTCGCGCTCGCGGGGGACAGGGCAGGAGGGAGCGGGAGAGAAGAAAGGAGCGGGCGGGTGGGGACCCGAGCGACTGCCCGAGCGCAAGCAGGACGGGAGGGAGAAAGCCCGGGTGGCTCCCTCGAAGGAGATGTGCGGAAAACAAACTGGGGCGAGCGGGGAAAGGAAGCGAAGGAGGCGAATCTCACTGCTCCGGGAGATCGAGTTACTAATGGGAAACAACTGGGGGGGGGGGGGGAGAGGGGGGGGAGGAGACAAACAAAATCGGGTGAAGAGAGAAAATAGTTTTGAACACAAAGAAAGCAAAAGAAACGCTATTTTCAGCGGTCCCTGGCTGCTCGCACCGTGCCAGTGCCTGGAGGTTGAGTTAGGGACTGCTCCAGCCCGAGCTGTGTCCAATTTGTTAAGAGACTAAAGCCAGCCCATTTTTGATAATTTAGTAGGAGGAGTCCTCTCCCCGGAGCTGCCACGGATTTTTATTCTGACAACAAAGACCTGTCATACTCCTCTCAACGGCCTGGTGATGGGCAAGCGGGGACAAACATTGGTGGAGGGAGTCGGAGTGGGGAGGCGGTAGGAGGAGGCATTTACTGCCCCCCCCAACACACACACACACACACACACACACACACACACACACACACACACACAGAGTCACACTTCCCAGAGTTCCCAGTCATATTTTAAAGGGGGTAAAAGAATCCTTATTGTCCCCATCTAGGGGGGGAAGGGGCAGGAAGCTAGGGGCAGAAAGTAAAAAGAACTTATTTGGGCCCAGGCTAAAGATCAGATTGTAACTCCACAGCCAGAAAGATTGTCAGCCCCCCAACTCTAACTTCCCTTCTTGTGGGATTTCTGGTGCCCATCCTAGGGTCCACACACCACCATCCCCCGCCCTCCCTGACCTTAAATACTAGCGCTTCACTCAAGAGTAGAGAACGCGGGAGCCTTTCCTCAAGGTCCCCTCACAGAATCCTCTCCCAAACTCACTTTTAAAAGCTGCTGTCACCTCTCCCCCACGAGGTTCACCAGTAACAGGCAAACACAAAGTAAAAGTGGGCTGAGAGGTCTGAGACCCATTTTTAGAGTCTGCTCCTGGCCAAAGACACTTCTTATCCAACCTTCATGTTGGGAGCTGGGTGGACACTAGCGACCACCGGCGACAGGTTCTCTCATACCCAGGACAGTGCTGCTCACTTGAGTGTCCCAAGTGCCCCATGTGAAACTTGTCAATGTGGGTAGCCCCCAGTGTCAAGCTGGGCACTGCACCCCCACCTCTGCCTTCAGGGAATTAGTCTTGCACTTGCTGTGGGCCGGCGCCCTTCTGGGTAGGGGCAGCTTGTAAAACCCGGCACCCCCAGATTTTGGAAAAGGTGAAAGGGGCTCATTGCTGTGGAGGAGGGGAAGGTGAGAGCTGAAGCGCAGAGCAGCGGGCCAGCACCTCACAAGGGGTGTGATTGTTCAGTCTCCCTCTCTTCGCCTTGTGCTGGCCCCTCCCTGGCCCTATTAAAAAGTGGTCACAATACTCTGATATTGTCGATTCATTCAAACTCCAGGAGCCTCCTCAGGGCCCAGAGTGGGCAGGAACCCAGGATGCTTTAGGCGGGGCTGACAAGGCAGCCCAGGGTTGCTCTCTCCTTTCCTCCCTCTCCACTGCCACCGCCCACCCTGCCACACTGGGCCTGCCAGGACCTTTGGAGTTCCTGATGTCCTGGATATTATAGAGAAGTTTTCTCTCCTGGGGAAGCCCAGATGGAAAGGAGCCAAATATGGAAAGATCAAGGCAGAAAGAAGGGGGGAAAGAAGAGAAGGAGGAAGAAGGGATGAGAGAAGATGACAATGAGGTGGGAGGAAGGAAGGAAGGAAGGAAGGAAGGAAGGAAGGAAGGAAGGGAGGGAGGGAGGGAGGGAGGGAGGGAGGAAGGGAGGGAGGAAGGAAGGGAGAAAAGGTGGGAGGATGCGGAAGAAGATGGAATGAAGGGAAAGAGGAGGAAGGAACAGTGCCTGGCATGGGAGCCTCACTTCCTGTCCCAGTACTAGCCTTCTGGGGCTGTCGCACTCACCTCTTCCCCGAAACCCAAGCCTCAATGCTTCCTCTGCTCTTTTCTTAGGGTCAAAGATAATGTTTTTTGCAGACTGGACGCGAATGCTGTCCTCCGGGTGCCAGAATACAGCTCATAAAACACAATTTCACACAAAGATGAAGCCAATCAAGTGCACTAAGCCGGATACAGCCCCTCGCTCTGGCTGCCCGACGGGCCAGCAGGGCTGCTATTTACTGTAAGTAATGTAATTAGCCCCTTTGGATGGAAATCAATGGGCTTTTCAAACCCACGTGCGCCAACCCAGGGGCCCGAAGGAGGCCTGGGAGCAGCCGGGCCATTCACAAAGGGCAGATCGCCCTCCTCTGGTCAGGGCAAAACCCATTCAGATGCCAAGGAGCAGGAGGGAGAGGAGAGACAAGATAGGTCTCTGAGGAACACCTCCATCCATCAGCCCCAGGAAGCTCCAGACAAAAGTGAACCGCTGGAACCAACACAGAGCCTGGCTTTGTCTGCTTTGTGGGCTAAACTCTTTACTCCTTCCCAAATGGGGTTGTGTGGGGCTTGAAATTGGGTCTAGTGGTTCTTGGTTTTTGGTCTCCTTCAATAAAGGCTAGAAAGAGCCCACGAACTTTAGAGACTCCATAAAGTGAAAGTTTAACAGGCCAGGGGCAGAGTGATACTGCAATGGGTAAAGGTCTTCTTGCCTTGCAAGCTGCCCAGTGGGATTTGATCCCAGGCACCTCATATGATCCCCTGAGCACAAAGCCCAAAGTTAGCCCTGAGCACTGCAAGAGGAAGGAAGGGAAGGAGGAAGAGAGGGAAAGGAAGGAAGGAAGGAAGGAAGGAAGGAAGGAAGGAAGGAAGGAAGAGAAAGAAATTAGCTTAACAAACCACACCAGGAAAAGGCTCTGTGGGAATCCTGTCTAGGGTTGCCAACTCTGAGGTACTGCCAGCCAGCTGGGAGTGTGTCCAGCCTCTCTGCAGCGTTTCCTCAGGCCTGGCAGGTACTGGGGGAGGGGGGAGGAGGGGAGGCCGGGGAGCCCCTTCTGCCTTCAGCACCCAGAGTGGATCCCAGCTAGGCCTGCTTCAGCTTGTAAAAGGCTGGTTGTGAGTTCCTGCATCCAGTGGGATCTGCTACTTCCCATAAAGCTGCAGACTGCCAGGATTCTTCCTTTTCAGTTCATGCAGGAAGTTTGCAGAAAGAGAGGGGAGGGGGTGGGGCACAGTGGGAGTTTGGAAGGTCCTGGTTAGGTCTACGGAAATTGCTACCCATTGTCCAGCCCGATCTCTCCTCCCACAACTTCTGAAAAAGGAAGGATGAAGGGGGAAGAGAAGCTTCAAGAATTGGGTGCATGACTTGAGGGGTCCTACCTTTTGGTCTTGCAGTCCCAGGACATTACTCTTGAGGGTCCTTTCCCGCCCCTCCCTTTCCAGGGCAAGGGTCTCCATGACTCTACCAGCCCTTGGCCCCCGCTGGATGACCTCCTGGGCTCCATAACAGCCGAAGAGTTCTGCCTCTCCAGGGGTCACCCTGGGGGCCTTCTTATCTTACCCAGGAAGAAGCCCTCGAGTGTCCAATCTGCGCCCCAAGTTGGCAGGAGTCATGGCATAGAAGTCTGCCACACGCTGCTCTTCCTCACGATGGACACATTTCCCTCCCCTTCACTTCTTTTCTTTGAGCCCCTCAGCCCCCCCCCCCCCCCCCCCCGCCTGGCTACTGGTGGAGCCCCTGGTCCAGCCCTTGTTAGAGAGGACGGCTGGGTTTGGGTTGGGTACAGATCCTGGGAGTGGGGTTCAGGGTCCGGGAATCGCCTTAATGGGGGACTATGAGCCTCTAGTGACCGTAGCCCTGGGATCCCACCCAGAGTTCCCAGAGGGTGGCGGTGAAGGGACTGCGTGGCTTTCTCGCAGTAAGACAAGCGGAGGGAGAAAAAAAAATAACCGCTGCTCGGCGCCTCTTGAAGGCACAGGTGACTCTGGGCGCCTGCAGTCTTTGGAGACCTGAGACCTGAGTCCCACAAGTCGGATTTATTTGTAAAGGGGTCGGGGGATCAGTGCCCCTCTCGAGCCTCAGAAGCTGGTTGGGGCGTCCCCCGGACTGAACGGCGCAGCTCTGAACACAGTGTCCTGCTCGATACACTGCCGTGGCTTCCCGGGCGCCGCCCAGTCTGGATGCCCGAGGCGCTGGGCTTCCTCCGGCCTGCAGACATTAGGGGTCTCTGCGCGAGAATCCCCCACCCTCACCCCGAAGCCTGGCAGGTCCAGGCTACCGCCGCACAGGCGCCGCCGGGGTACAACCTCACTCTAGGGCGTCTCTCCCGACGGCAGTGGAGCGCGAGAAGACGCGAGGAGAGCGGGGAGACGCGGGGCGCACGGTGCGCGGTGGCATGGGGAACGGCCGTGGGCGCGCTCCAACTGCCGACCTGCCCGCTGCGCCTTCGCTCTCCCTCCGCCCCCCCACCCCCAGCCTGCGCCCAGGACCCCGCACCTTTGCCCGCTGGCCCTGCCCTAGGGCGCGCTCCAGACCAGGTCACATCTCCGCCCCCTCCCAACTTCGGTCCTTCCCGGGGCAAGGTGGGGCGCCGCCAGATCAAGAACCCACACTTATGTGATGGGAAGCCCCCCCCCCCTTTACCTGAGCTCGGCCTCGTGGCGGACCCTCGGTTGCCCCAGGAATAAAGGGAAGGGTTCTGCCCTGGGTCCGCGGTGATAGCGCGCAGAAACGGCTGCGCCGTTTGGTTTGGATGGAACAAAACAAGGTGGATGAAGCCATTTGCCAGTTAAGCCCCGCACCGGTGATTAACGGGATTTTCCTTGCAAACCCACAGTCCACCCCAACCCTTCCGATAGGGAAACGCCCCCAGCAGCTCCGTGGAGGATCGGGAGCGCATTCTCAAGCCGTTGACAACTGGAGGCTCGGTAACCCCTCGACCCTAATCCCCCCACCTCCACTCCCAAGACACCCCTCTAGGCGGAGGAAAGTCTGAGACTTTCGAGGGAAAAGCGCGAGGAGGGAAGCGCAGGTTCCCGAGGTAGCGGCCGGGCAGCGCGGGCTGATTCCTAAGACACAGACACAGACGCAGACGCAGACACAGACACAGACACACACACACACACGCACACACACACACACACACCCTTCTCGTCCTCCCACCAATGGAGGTGCGCACACGCGTGTGCACCCCTGCACTCGGGAAAGTGGCCCGGGGCTCACCTGCCTCCAGGGTGGTGCCGTTCAGCATTCTCAGCGCCAGCAGCGTGGAGCCCGCGGGAAAGGTGGCCGCGCTAGCGGAGAAACGCGCGCGTCAACCCACCGCGCCCGCCAGGGACTCGAAGCCTCCCACCACCCGCCGGGAAGCGCTTCTCCTCCCGCCGCGACCTCCCGAGCCGAGCGGCTCCCAAAGCCGCCGGTGCCCCGATCCTGGGGCGCCAGGACCGCCGGGCGCACTGGCCGGGCATTCGCTACGCCTTTCCCACTAGCCCGTCCGCCCCGGCGTGGGTGGGGGGAATCTTACCTTGAGCTCTGGACGTTTCCGCCGGGAACCCGGTTCTTGGCCAGGAAGGGCAGAATGGCAATCAGGGGTGCCCACGGGTCCCCAAATCTCGAGTTCTCTGCTAAACAAACAAAATAATAGAACATTGGGTGGTGGATGCAGCTCTCTCTGTCTCTCTGTCTCTGTCTGTCTCTCTCCTCTCTCTCTCTCTCTCTCTCTCTCTCTCTCTCTCTCTCTCTCTCTCTTCCTCCCTCTCTCCCTCCCTCCCCTGCCTCTCTCCGGATCTCTCCTTGCACCCCCCTACCCCATCCTCACCTCTGACCCGCAGCTCCCTCCACCTGTCTTTTATTTTCTGTTTATGCCTCCAAATCGGGAGGGGGGCGCACTGGGGCACGGGCGCGGACCGGTGCCCGGAGACGGGCGGTGGGGCTGTGCTCAGCCTGGCAGCCTGGCAATAACCAGGGGAGGTGTTAATGGAGGACTCGGCCGTAACTGAACCTCATAAAGCCGAGAGCCTCCGGGGGCTGGGGCGCCGCGGGTGGGGAGCGGATCCCGCCGCGCGTCTGGGGCTCTCCCCGGCCCCCAGCCGGCCTTGGCCTTCCAGGAGCTCGGACCTGAAAGGTGCCGCCGCCAGCTGGTGCCTGCCTCGACGGGGACCGGCGGTAGCTCCTGCGGGGAGCTGGGCTAAGCCATTGATTGCTCACCCGCCTAGTCCCTGCCTTCCCTCGGGGGCCCTTCCTCGCCTCCCGGCGCTCTGGGGCTGGGGCGCCGCGACTCCTGCACTTCGGGAGCGCGCTCTGCGCCCCAGGGGGGGCATTCTCTGTCAAGTCCGCCCAGTCTGGAGATTCTCCTTCCCCGCCCCTCCCCCCCCCGCCCCTCTACACACACACACACACACACACACACACACACACACACACTCACCTACCCCTCGCAAATCGCGTTTCTCCGCCCGGGTTAGGAGGTGATTAACCTCGGGGTTTGGAATGGGGACGGGGACCGACTTAAACTCTGGGGACTCACACCTCGGGCACCGACAGACTCCCGGAGCCGAGGTGGGGCGGGGGCCTGATTACCGCGTCTCAGGTTCCCCGCTCCAGGCGCAGTCACACAACCCGCTTAGCCCTCCGCCCCCCTCCCCCGCCCCCAGACGTGGGAGAATAGAGAACCCGGCGCGCGGGATTAACTGAAGGGGCTCAAGCGCCCATGGACGAGGGGGTATGAGCAACGACACTGGCCGCTCCGGGATGCAGTGACCAAGACGACTTCCCACCACTACCACCAGCCCTTTGTCGCTGCACTGGCTCTCCCGGGTGCTGGGAACTGGGTTGGGGAGGAGGGTTCCCGACCCCATGAAGGCAGGTCTGCGAGGGGGTGGGAGGCACGTGGGGCGGACTCACCTCTCCGCCCGCCCCGCCAGCCACACCACGCGGTTTAAGGGAGGCAAGAGGTCGTCTGGAGCCTAGAATCCAAGTCTTTCTTTTTCCCATTTCATTCGCCAAGTGTGGCTCAGAGCACCCGGGCACGTCCCAAGAATGCGATGAGCCTGTGAGTCGCTCTGGTTTACTTCGACGCCAGTCTGGCCCCTTCCCAGTCTCTCTCCCCGCCCCCCCTTCCTCTCTTGGAGAAGCCCCCTCTCCGTCGGGGCTTGACCCGGGTGGGGGCCCAGCCTTCCGGGTTGTCATCCTAGCCAGGTCAACGAGGGGCACCGCGAACACTTAGGTGAGCTCACCCATCCCGGTCCAAAGCAGCGGGCTTTATCCTCTTTGGGGGTCACGAACCGTTTTTTGGTACTTGATGAAAATGCGCTTCCACACGCGCGCGCGCACGCACGCCAGCACGGGCGCGCGTCGCCCCCACATCCACGCCCCCCGAAGCTCACACGAATACGAATTTCGGTGGGAAGATGGGGTCTGCGAGAGTCTCCGCGTTTCGTGAGAGCCCGTTGTCTCCCTGGGTTGACTCTTTTACCCGGCATCTTAGGAAGGGGGCCTGGAGTCTGGAAACTGTAATTCAGGACTGAATCAAGAATATTGGTGGGGCGAGGAGAGCGGTGTGGGACGGGGCTCTTGGCACCCAGCGGAGCATCGCAGGGTTGGGGGTGCGGTAAACTGAACTGTGAGTCACAACCCCCTGCTGAAGCTGAGTCTTCCCAGAAACCATTCCTAAAAACACACTTAAACACCTCCCTCCCCTCCCCGGGGAAGGGACTCTTTGGTTTCCCAAAGTAGCTTTAAATCGTTTGCAGAGTACTGGGGGGAAATAGTACCGAGTTCCAAATCCTGCATCACCGGCAGCGACCCAGACCCCAAAGTCCGGTCTGTAAGGAAATGACCAGTGTTGCCTTGGTGGGGGCCAGGAGTGGGGGGGGGGTGTTCCGGGGTTCCGGGATCATCTGGGCTGGCGAGGGACTGTGAGGCTTCCAAGGTTCGCCACTGGCTTTGGAGTGAGTCCCGTGCCTCCGGCTTTGTCTGCGGGAGAATATCGGCCTCGCTGCCTCGGGCAGCAGAACCGTCACGATACACCATGGATCAGACTTGGCCAGCATCCTGGCCAGGATCAGGGGAGCTGCTGGATAACGAAGCCCCGTGCGGGGCTCGGGGGGTGGAGGGGCGCGCTGTGTGCATTTTCCTCTCTTTAGGTGTTCCGATTCCAAACGCCCGGGCGAGGGAGCAACATTTCTTTGGAAAAGAGCCCAAGGCCAGGGACCAGGCGTCTCCTCGAGCAGAGCCTGGACTGAAATTCACCTGAAATTTACCTAGATTGCCCTCTCCCCTCCCCTCCCCCCAGCCCCTCCGGCCGCATGATCGATGGCCACGATGGTTGGTCACTGTCTTCCACTCATAGGATCCCCAGAGTCCACTGGGCCTTGCCGCATTGACCACGATCTAGAAATCGGTCTCTCCCAGATTCCTTGGATAGGGTCTTGGAAATGGAGCGATCCCGGATCGGATCTGACTTAGGAAGTCCCCTTTGCAAACATCCACGTGTTGTTGTGTGCAGGCCCTCACCAGAAAACTGAACAATAATAAGTATTGTTATTGTTTATATTGCTTTACACTGTGAGAATACAATCTCGCTGTAGCAGCAATATTGTTTCATGTGAGAACACCACTTCCCCCATCTTCTCCTGAGCTTGTAGCATAGCCCTGCCCAGAGGTAGAAGCACAGCTCTAGAACCACAAGCAACCACCCACCTGCCTCTCCTGCCCCAGAAGAAGGAGGAAGAAAGATTCCCTTTCCTCACACAATCCAATCATTACCAGAGGCTCCCAGCATTACAAGCAGGGCTTAAAGTTCTGCCATGATGGGTCACTAACATCCCACTTAGATGTCATTCCTGAGAGACCCCGGAGTCTTTTCTTTGAAGGCCTTTCCTAGCTGCAGTGAGAGGTGGAGAAAGCCATCGGTGAAGAAGACACCCCCCACCCCAGAAGTGATTTCTCACACTCTGACACTGGGGGCCCTACTCACCATGAATTTCCTTTCCCCTGTCTCTGGTTTTCCAGAAGAATGCTCTTTCTCTAAGGCTCACTCCCTTCTCTCCTGCCTCTTGAGGTTGCTGAAGAAAGCGCCACCTCCCCCCCCCAAGACAGCCCTTGTAAACAAATCCAATACTTACAGTGGCACCAGCTCAATGCTCCTTGAGCAAAGACTGGGGAAGAAATTGCTCCCAGAAGTCCAGAAACCTTTCTAGAAAGACTCACTGCTGGGGGCTGGAGCAATAGCACAGCGGATAGGGCATCTGCCTTGCACACGGCCGACCCAGGTTCGATTCCCAGCATCCCATATGGTCCCCTGAGCACGGCCAAGAGTGATTCTTGAGTGCAGAGTCAGGAGGAACCCCTGTGCATTGCTGGGTGTGACCCAAAAAGCAACAACAACAAAAAGACTTACTGCTTCCAGGATCACAAGGAGACACCCCATTTTATTTTCCTCCTCATAAGAATTTCTAGAGAAGATACCACAAGGCCACAGAGAGTCTCAAAGCATGGCTAAAACTGTCAGCCACCCAAAATGCTGACACCCCAAATGCCAACAAGTTGGAAAAACACTGAAAATACTTGAAAGAACTACAGACATTATAATCGGTATCATCCTGAGCTTTTTTTTTTTTTCACTTATTTTACACTCAAAGGGGCTTTTATTTTTAAGTGAATCTGGGAGAGTTAACTACCTTTTGATGGTTGACAACTTACTTCTCAAACCCTTAGTTACACTCTGGGTGAAAGAGTGTAAGGCAGACACCTCAGGTTCACTGAGGAAAGAGCCTTCAAACCTCCCACTAAACAGCTTCTCTGGTGAAGGAAAAGGCTTCTTGGGCGCCACTGTGGTCTGAGGGAGACAACAGAGGAAAGTAGAGACAGAGGAAAGAGTTGCTGTGGGCTCCTCCCTGGGATGAACACTGATGGGAGGGGCATATGTGCAGTGAACGACGGCATAAAGCTAATAAAACGTGCCAAGCTACATCTGCCTGGGAAGTGCCATAAGAATTGGAAGAGGAAAGTGTGGAGGAGAGAAGAAAGAATGGTCTAATCCAGGCATCTTAAGCGGCCTGACCCCCAAGTCAGAAAGATTTAAAGTTTTTATTCAGAGAACAGATGGAAGATGAGAGCCTTTCTCGACACAGAATGGCACCTCTTGGGCACTCATATGCTGCACAATATAGCATGATATCACTCTCCTTAGAGCTCAAGATATAAATAAAAAGAAGAAAGTACTCAAACTCTTCTTTTTGCCAACAACCTCCTTTGGATTGCTAACACTGAGGGGGAAACAGTAGGAGAACTGAGACTACAAGAAAACTCAAGAACGATTAATGTGACCCAATTGCTACTATTTATTTAATGGAATAGTCATTATTTTCATTCTTCAACATATGTGTCTGATAATAAAGTAAAAAAGAAAGGAAAATAGCTATCAATGTGCTACTTCAGAAACACACAAACATTTGCTAGCTTTTTCATTTTATTGATGTTCTTTTAATATATGTACTTAAGATAAAATTAGTGTTCAAGCAACAGCAGCACACAGAAATTCTAGATTAAGGATTTATTTCTGTTTTTCTTTTAATAAGCTCCAGTTGAACAGAGAATAAGATGAAATTGCTGTCAAATATAAAAATATGAGTTGAATTGCTTCTTTTTAGAAGAATCT